CCGGCTCACACTTTTAATCCCAGCACTTTGGGAGGCCAAGGTGAGAGGATTACTTGAGCCCAGGAGTTGGAGCCCAGCCTGGGCAACATAGCGAGACCTCATCTTTACAAAAAATAAAAAAATTAGCTGGGTGTAGTAGCACATGCTTGTTGTCCCAGCCACTCGGGAGGTTGAGGCGGAAGGATGGCCTGAGCCCAGGAGGTTGAGGCTGCAGTGAGCCGTGACCGTGCCACCGCACTCCAGCCTGAGCAACAGAGTGAGACCCTGACAGAGTGAGATCCTGACTCAATAAAGAAAAAAAAAAGCCACTGCCCCTCTCTGGACCTCGTCTCCTCATTGAAGCAATGGGTATTAGATAGACGGTCTCCTACTCTGAGCCCTGGGCCCTGATCTTGGCCACAGCTTCAAGCACAAGAAAGGAAAGAACTCCACTTTGTTATCACCCTGGGTAGCCAGGTCCCAAACTCAGCAACATACACCCCTGTCCCATTCAAGCTGCAGTGGGAAATGCCAGTGCCCCCATTTCACAGGTGACTAGATGGAGGCTTAGGGAGGTGACATGACCTGCTTGGTCTGGGGTCCATTTTGAACCTACGTCCCTTTGGCTGTGGAGCCTGCATGTGGCTCCCCCACGAGACTGAACAGGCTGGGCCAACCCTCCACACGGCTGGCTCCCCCCACCCTTTATCTAGGTCGGGATGCTGGCCCCTGGAGTCGCTGCCCTGCTGACTGTGGGCCCTGCGGACCTGTGGCCAGCTGTGGACGGGGCGGGCTGAGCACCAGGACTGTGTGCCGAGGGCAAGAGACTCCGCGGGGATCTGGGTCTCGTTTAGAGTCTCCGTTACTCATCTGAGAGCACTTTGGGGGTCTCTTGACCCAGCCTGGGGGCTGAGGGGTGGGGCCGTGAGGAACAGGGTGGGCAGAGGGTGCAGACCCGGGCTTGGAGGGGTCGGCGGGCGGAGGATGGGGCAGATCAGTGGGGCCCCCGAGGCAGTTGTTGAAAAGACCATGCTGTCTCCCGTCCCTCGTAGACACCTCTACCTGCCACCCCCACCCCAAGACTGGTTGCATTTCCCACTGACCTTTGCTAAAGCGTTAGCCGACTCGGAAGTGCTTGCACCTAACAGAGGCTGCTAAGGCGGAAGTGAGCTCATGATTGCCCCCACCCGTCATTAGCACCACAAGCACAGAGACCACGCTGGGCACCAGGACACAGACCAGTGCTGGGCAGGTAGTAGGCTCTCAATAAGACATTGGGAAGGCAGGGAAGGAAGGCAGGCGGGAAGAATTTGGATGGCAGCTGAAGCTAAGCACTAAGCCCTCCCAGTGGGACTTGCGGCTCAGACCCCTGGAGACCGGGAGCATGGGGGGAACTTTCTGGCTCAAGGAATGATGGAGGAATGACAGGCAGTGGGAGGAGCTACCTTTTCCTTCATTGGACAAGCACTTTTTTCTCTTTTTATTTTTTTTCGTTTTAATAGAGACAGGGTCTTGCTGTGTTGCCCAGGCTGGTCTCAAACTCCTGAACTCAAGTAATCCTCCTGCCTTGACCTCCTAAAGTGCTGGGATTACAGGCGTGAGCCACCGCGCCTGGCCTGACAAGCACTTACTCAGCTACTGAGCACCTGCTCTGTCAGGCAGTGTTCTAAGTGCTGAGGTTACCAGTGAACAAAGCCAAGTCCTCGGTCTCTTGGAGTTGATGTCCTAGAAGGCATGACATGAGAAGGTGATCGGTGGGGTGGAGAAACCCACACAGGGGGATGAAACGCAACAGAGTGACTGGGCGGGAGGAAGGGGAGGGCTACTCCAGGTGGGTGACAGTCAGGGCAGTCTCTCAAAAGAAGTGATGCCTGAGCTGAATCTGAAGGATGAGCAGGACTCAGCCAAGCAAAGAGTCAGGGGAGGAGCACACCTGGCTGAGGAAACGGCTGGTGCAAAGGCCCTGGGGCTGAGGTTGAGAGGTGGGCAGGAGTCAGGGCCTATGGAGGGTTTGCCTTTCATTCAGAATGTGAGCTGCGTTTCCTGAAGGCATTCAGTAGGAAGAGGACTTGATCAGATTTACTTTTTTTTTTTGAGTTGGTGTCTCACTCGGTCACCCAGACTGGAGTGCAGTGGCCACTCCGGCCACCGCAGCCTCGACCTGCTGGGCTCCGGCGATCTTTCCGCCTCAGCCTTCCGAGTAGCCGGAATTACAGGCACGCGCTACCACGCCCGGCTGATTTTTTGATTTAGAGTAGAGATGAGGTCTCGCTGCCCAGGCGGGTCTCGAACCCGCGGGCTCAGGCAATTCACTCACCTCAGCCTCCCAAAGGCGCGGGATTACAGGCTGAGCCACCGAGCCCGACTGATAGTGCTTTTTTTTTAATGCAGCGATGTTTCAAAAACTAAACACGACTTTTCTGATTTAAAACATAGAATACTAGGATGCAATGGTTGTGTATGGCATTCTAACTCCACAGGACACTGCTATAAGACTTATAAGTTAACGTGGAAGAGGAAATCTTCCATTAACAATTCCTACAGGGACGAAATTTATACAGCGTATCAGCTAAATCCTCAAGTGGTTTCTTGCCCCAGAATTTTCTGACACTGCAGGTTAAATAAAAGTGTTTAATCATTTTCAGTCAAATTTTCAGGCACTTAAGTCAGATCCTAGAAAGGAATATATTAAAACACGGACATTCTGCACTATCAACCCACAGGGAGATAGGAAGACCTTATCAATAAACATATACGGGAGGGTTTGCAAAATACTTTAGGGAAATCAGAATACTTTATATGCATTGTATCTCATTGGATCAGGCAATTTAGTAAATCCAACAAATAATTTATCTTACTAATATCACATCATATTTATACAAATTGTTTAATGTCATTTGACATAAAGTTGGTTTCATGCCTTTTTAAAGTAAATCTATGAGTTCTTATATATTTTTCTCATGTATATTATTCCTTAACGCAACAAACATTTTTATTAATTTCATGATATGGGTATAAGACTGTACCAATTTATATGGCCTTACATTTAACAATCGTCTATAAAATTATGTTTTCCAGGTTTTCCTTCTTGAAAATAAAATGCTTGCCATTATCTATTTCTTTAATATACTTTTAGTTTTCCAAAATGGTAGACAATAACTTCAATATTAAAGTCATTTGGTTTTTTTTGAGATGGAGTCTCACTTTGTCGCCCAGACTGGAGTGCAGTGGCCACTCCTGGCCACCGCAGCCTCGACCTGCTGGGCTCCGGTGATCCTTCCACCTCAGCCTTCCGAGTAGCCGGAATTACAGGCGCACGCTACCACGACCGGCTAATTTTTTGATTTATTGTAGAGATGAGGTCTCGCCTGCCCAGGCGGGTCTTGAACCCGCGGGCTCAGGCAATCCACTCACCTCAGCCTCCCAAAGGCGTGTGATTACAGGCTGAGCCACCGAGCCTAGCTTATTAAAGTCATTTAACAAAATAATTCAAGTGCTTTTTATATACCAGAAACTGTCTTGGGTCTATTGCCTTAGTGACCTTTAGTACATTTCTTACAGCTCTTAAGTTTTAACTTATACAGAACAACATATCTGAAAATGGAATTTTAATGGTTCTGCCTTTTCTCTGGAAGATGTTTTCTTTTAAGCATCTTCTGTAAACTCTGGGCCTAACCATGTTTCCAGTTCTTTATTTATTAGAAACAGCTATCTCCTTAGAATATAGGTTTTCTTTATGCATCAAATATAGTATTTTTCAGCTTTTTCTCAAATGCAAAAGGACTCACAGGACTTGTGTATGGCCAAAATAACTCCCCTGCCTTGTCTTTTTTTTTTTTTTTTTTTTTTAGAGCTGGAGTGCAGTGGCACACTCAAGGCCACCGCAGTCTCCACCTGCTGGCCTCAGGCGATCCTTCTGCCTCAGCCTTCCCAGTAGCTGTAACTACAGGCACGTGCCACCGTGCCTGATTAATTTTTTTTATTTATTGTAGAGACAAGGTCTCACCAAGTTGCCCAGGCTGGTCTCGAACCCCTGGTCTCAGGCAATCCTCTCGCCTAGGCTTCCCAAAATGCTAGGATTACAGACATGCGCCACTGCGCCCAGCTTCCCCTACCTTGTTCTAGTTTTTTTTTTTTTAATGCCACCTTTTCAGTGAATCCTCTGCTGACCACACCATATAAAATTGCTTTCTTTCTTATTCTTTCTTTTCTTTATTGTTCTTATCACTTTTTTCATAGTAAAATATTTGATTATTATAATGATGCTTGTTTTGAATGTAAGCCTCATAGAGGAATAATTTAATTTTTGTCCATAACTTTAACCTTAAAGCCCAGACTGTTGGCTGGCACCTAGTAAGCACTCAAGGAATATTTGTTGAATAAATACATTTCCCTCCAGAATACTTTCCTACTCTCCAGTATTGCCTAATTCTATTCTACTAATTCTTCGGCTCTCACTTAAGGCCATGTATAGAAAACTTTTTGACCTTCTAGAACATGTTAGGTAATTTAGCAATGCATATTTTTGTCACATTGAACTCATCATGGCTGTAACTATACATTTGATTATATGTGATTAGTACAGGTCCAGGAGGACATATGCCAGAACGTTTGTCCTGGCTCCTCCCTCACCATGGTGTCTAAGCTGCCGTCCTGGCAGAAAACTGCTTCTCAGTATGTTTCCTGACTAAATGAATTATGGTGGAGTTTAGTATCACATACTAATTCTAATTCTTAAATGAGTCCCTACCTATTTGCCTAATCTCTGCCATCACTTTCAGTTCTTTGAGGGTACCACACTTACTTGATCTACCATTTTCCTTTCCTAGAAACTCTATTCACCTCTGCCAGTACTCCGTAAATACACATTTTTAAAAATAATTTCCTATAATATTATTTAGATTCTAGCTTAAACATCACTTTCCTCAGAAATCATCTTATGCCTTCAAACATCAGTTTAAGTTATATTAATCTGCTGTTGCAAAAACTTATTCCTGTTCTTCAGAAATAAGTTATGTTTATTCTTTAATATTTGCTCATTTTAAAAATAGTTTATGAATGCTTATTTTCTATACTAGGTTGCAGGTACCAAGAGAGCAGTTGCCATGATATGTGCCTACGATGGTGACCATGGATGACACAGATTTTGCATCTGATCCACCTCAGAAAGCCTGAGAAATGGTCACCATTTCTCTAAGTATCTATGGAAGACAATAGGCTCACCATACCCAATCTCGACAGAGAAAGTATTGACAAATGTTCTTTTTTCCATTGTTTTATCTGTTACCCAGCACAATCTGCTGGACATTGAAGGAACATAACAAATACTGTTTGAAAAAAAAAAGGATGTGAAATTCTTAGAAAAAGATATGGCAATACCCTCCAGGATTGAAGATTCTACATAAATTACCAATTTTAGTAATTTAGCAAGTATATTTTTCAACAAAAGTAGTTAACAAGCATCATTGCTTATAAATCAGACTCTCTAGGCACTGATATTCTGGAAACCTCTCAAGTTAAGGACAAGGCTCTAACCTGTGGTGACATTGCTGAGGGACAAGCTGAACTTCTGAGAGAGAGAGGGAGAGAGAATCAAATTAATTTACAAGAGAATGAGCTTTTCAGATATTATCCTTCATAAGCAATGTCATCCATAAGCATATGGTCTGACCTTTTAAAAAAGACTTTAAAAAGTATATTAAAGTTAAAGAAATTCTAATATATCAAAATAATAGTATTCCCAGAACAAATCAATAGATGTAAAGATTTTTTTTGGAGAATTTTTAGAATTCTAATTCAGGATGTTACATATGCATCTCTTTCTTATTTTACTAAATGGGGAAGTTCCTTCCTAGTTTCTCCCATCTGCACCTCTTTGCTAAGGACCACTGGGTATCTTTTTCGATCCTCTGGATGGCATTTCAACAGAATTAGAACAAAATAGATGAAGGCATTGTGGTAGTATGGCAGACCATGGAAGAGGAAGAAAAGGTCTTGAGGAATAAGTTATGTATTTGACCAAACTGTGCTCCAATAAAACTTCACAAGGATGCTTCTCAGATTCCTGGTGATTTTTGTTGTTGTTGCTGCTTGGGGTCCATATACCTGCTTTTTTCCCCTATAATTCTTCTAATTACCTCTATCAAAATTCCTCTGGGTCTATCATGAAACATATCTTATCACATGCCTAGGGTATTTATGTTGTTGCTAAATTTCTTTATCTTTTTATGCTTTATCATTCTATACTTTACTTATGTTTTTATATTTTAAATTATTTCTCTTCTACTCCTCCTTCTTTACTATCATCTCATTATCTTCATCTTGCTTTTAAACATTAAACTAGGTAAGACAAGATTATATCCCTTGCAAAGAACCTGAAAAAGAATAATCTGTATTTAAAAGTAAATTAAGAACTGAGTACTCCAGAGCAATTCCAGACAATGCTTTAAAAAGGTATGGAATCCAAGTGTGGATTTCCTTGGAACTGAGAAAACTGATGGGATAAGAAGAAAGAAAAGTTATAGCAGGGACTTTCTTTTCATTTAATTTATTTTAATGCTGCTTTTTAAGATACAAGTCTAAATTATGTAAAAATCAGATCGCAGTAAAAAGCTATGTAAAGGCAAATAAGGATATCAAAGGAAAAGGGGACTAAAAAGAGAAAAGGAGGCCAGAAGACAGTGGCCATTAAGAGTTTATGTTAATTGGGGATAACCAAAACACTTTCAATTTTCTTACTTGATGCCTTTGCACTAAAGAAATAAAGACAGAAAATAAGGTGAAAATGAAAGAAAATAGGATAATGAATACAGTAAATCTTAGGCTCACCACTCTGTGAGTTCTATGGACTGTTTTTCAAGATATCTTAATCCCATAAGAATTACCTTGAAAAAATTATATTGAGAAGCTAGTTTTAATGAATCAGATAATGTTTTGTTGCTGTTATTTTAACTGGTAATACTCTACGATTTAGAAAAAATGTCTGCCTTAGTTGTGTGTGTGTGTTTTAACCAGTAACTTTCCTCAAATCCTGCTCCCCAACCTTCTTTTTTGTCTGAAATTTTCTGATGAACATTGAGTAGCAGATTTTTACTTATTTGCAGTTAGTTACTATTATATCAAAATCATAGAATTTCTTTAAATGCAGCACTTCAGCTGGTTATGAGTACATGTGATTATCTGTACAATATAATCATATATTCAATGATATATTATAATACCTGGTGTCATAAGCCTTTTAAAAATGTTTCTGCAGTTTCATTGAACGTTAAACAATTAACATGAGCCATCAGTATATATTAAATGCCCAGTTGTAGTAATATCCAATCTATTAATTCTCGAGATTTCCCCTTTGTCATTTCATGATGGAGAATGAGATAACATTGTTGGAGATTAGCAGTCTAAAGCAACAACCTGAGGAAATGACATTTCACTAGAATAAAAAAAACACATTTCACACAATAAGAGAATAAAGCAGAGATAAGGATTTAGGAAAGCGTGTTATAGGTTAGGTAGGAGAAACTATGTTTAGAACTACTTTGGGCTGATAAAGCCGTTTAAACCCACATTGATTGGATCTTGAGACATTTCAGTCGTTTTCACTCCTGTCACAAAGGAAAAGTAGATATTTGGTGAACAAATTAAATGCCCAAATATTACCTGTAGGTGTATGTTTATGAAAGCACTCAAAACAATAAAATGTGTTCTCCCTTAATGTTGATGTTTTGGTGTATCCACATACACCCTTTTAATTTTTTTACAGTAGCATTTTATTGTTTCCCATTTGGAAGCAAAAACAAAAATATTAAAGTGTTCACATAATATTTATTTACTATATGTTAGCTGTGTTTTCAAAAACACAACTACTATCACTCAGATTGAAAGAGGGATTGAAAACCTAAGCATCTACTCCAACCAGACTTCTATGACTTTAAACATCCTGCCATGCTTTCATCAAGACTACAGCTGAAGGCTTCCAGAAATAAATATCGTGATAGCATTCCATTTTTCACTATTTAATTGAATGCTTATTTTTCTTGTGTTTTGTATTTTTGTCTTAGACTGTTGGTTTGAAGCGTGCATATATTGTATTTTTCAGACTAGCTCTCTATTACATATGGTTCAGCATAATAAAAAAAAGTTAATCTGCACTTGTGTATTTCACCAAAGACCAGACAACTATTGTGAGCAAACTGTGTACAGTTAAGGAAAGGGAAATATGTACAAATGGAAAATAATCTGAATTAACTTTAATGCATACATTTCATTCAATATATTTGTAATATAAAAACTGCACTCTAAATTTTAATACTTTTCAAAAAGTAATTAACTATTTGGAAGTTCATTTTTAGTTTATGAAAGGAAATAATCTGACCTTAAGCTGTTCTTCCAAAGCAGCAGTTGCATGATCTCCACTAGATTCATCAACGACCACCACCATGTGAGTAAGAGAATTGACCCTGACTTGTTCCTGTTCTAGATCTTCCTGAAGAACCTGAAAGATAAATTTGTTCAATGAATTAAAATTGTACTTTGATATGTATGCTGAAATAATTTTCCCAATGGATATGTTTTATTTTTTCAATGTCTTAGGTAATACAATTTTTATTAAACTAGAACCAGTCCAAGCAAATTTTCTGCCGGTAATCAACAAAATCTACAAGTTTCTATTGTTATTTTAACTTGAAAGTTGATAAAGAGGCTACATGTTGGGAATGGTACAGTCTTGTTCCTTATCTCTTCTCCTCTCACCTTTTTAAGGACTTTTCTACTAAAACTACTTGTACCTCTTATATCTTCAAGCTCTCCTTCTCGACTGAAATTCTCCATCACCACACAACTAAAACTACCTCGAATCAACAAACTCTTCTTGCTACTTTCCTATTATGTGTTGATCTTGCCTGAAAAAATATGTGTTTTCTGTAGCTACTTTCTCCACTTACTGATCCTACTACTCGCTTTGCCCACTTCACTGACTTTCAGGTTCCATATCTAGTAGCCATTTTTTGATAGCATCTTACTTGACATTTTGACTACTCACCTAACTGACCACCTCTTCATTATTCATTATTAGTACCCTCTTCTCTTGACCTTCATGTGCTACCTTCTGATTATGCTTCTACCTATATGCTGCTTTTTAGTTCCTTTACTGGTTCCTTTTCTTCTGCTCAAACTATAAATCAGAATTCATTCCTCTGTATAAAAACCAGTGAATTCATATTACACTATGAAGGAAAATCCAACTTCTTTTTCTGAAATCTTGATATGATCTAGCATTTGCCTACAATTCCAATCCTTGTATACTATTCTTGCTCTCTCACACTGCTTCAGACATACTTATCTTTACTCTTTTCCACAAATAAGTCAAGCTGTTCTCTCTCCCTGATTTGCTTTCTCCCCAGATCTTTACATGATCTCTCCATATAATTCAGAACTCAAGCTAAGTATTAACTACCCAGAGAGGTTTTCCATGCTACCTAAAGGTGTTCCCTGGTTATTCTCTGCTTCTGTCATTTTTTAATCATAACATTGTCATAACTCAATATTTTCTTGTGTATTAATTTAGTCGTGTGTGTTTTTTCTCTACTTACTGTAATATATAATCCACTAGAACATAAATGTTCTCTGTCCTCACTTTACACTCTAAGCAAACACAGATCAATAAACATTTGTCAAATAAGTGTTGCCATATGAAGAAGTGAGGACAATATGCACAGATGAATTTGGTCCTTCTTGGCAGCACAAAGATTACAATATAGTAAGGGGAATTAGTTATTTTTAGTGTAAATACAATTACAACTAACCTCAGCAGAAAATGACCACTTTTTTTTAGCTTAACCTGAGAATAAAATCAGAATAATTCAAATCCTAGCTTTCTAACCTGCAAACGTGACTCTGAAAAAGTTATTTTCTCTCATGAAGAGGTCCCAAAATAGTACTTCCCAACTTTAAAAAGTAAAACAAAACATGGCATACAATTTCTTTTTTTTTGCAAAAATAAGCAAAGGTAAACAGAGGAATACAGTGAGGGTAAACAAAAGAGCAGTAAGCAGAGGATGCTGTTCTCGAACCAAATATTTTCCATCTGGGCACTTCAGATACACCAAGACCTTACGCTGCTACACTAATTTTTATTGGGATTTCTCTGAATAGGTTTTAGAAACTTTTAGTCACCGAATTTGCTTCTTAGAACATCTTGTTATATAACACAAGGATGGAGCTGTAGGTTTGGAATGTTGCCTATTACTTTCGGCAAACTTGCTTTCCCTACTTATAAAACAGTGACACTTGGCATCTATTAGTCTAGTTCTTGGTTATTCAAACCCTATGGCAGCTATGAGGAAGTTTAATAGAATGGCTGAATCACAACCTTAAATGCATGAGAATTTTTATCCTAGGCTTCTTATTTTTCAAGCCTCAACATTTTAGAACACTGTAAAAATCACTTCTTTTTACTTCTCCTCTCTAGATTTTCATGCTACATTTTCAAGAGAAGCAATTTAAGATGAAATGACTATGCATCTATTTCATGTGTGGAGTCTATACTGTCTATCACAGCTTTGACATTCCAGAGCTAACACTGGTTAATAAAACTCTTTCTGCCATGAGGCAGAAAATGGAAACATTAGCATTCAGAGTTGTCCTTGACAGTCAAGTTGAGTCTGTGTTTTCTAAGTTATATAAGCCAGGACTGGGAACATTTTAAATGTGTCAGCCAGGAATTTTAAAAATTAAAATAATAACTTGGTGGCCAATGTGTCATATGTTGGTTTTGTGAATTTAGCCAGTTATTTTTTCCTCCTATTTAATGAGTATATATAATTACATATATTAGGAAACAATGCCATACTTTTCTCATTTTTACACATAAATTATTTTCAGCAAAGAACTATTTTAAAAAATCAATGTTTGATCCATGGCATGCTTACTTCCTGACTCAGATTGAGTCTTCTAAAAGCATATGTGGTCAAATGTACTATTTACTCTCTCTGTTACTTAGATATCTAATTTTGTTTGCCTGTTTATTTGTTCTAAAATTAGAAATGGTATTCTTGCCATGTTGATCTATGGTTCACAGGTTATGCCCTTGTAGGAGGGCTAGCACAAGGTACCATTAAAGCTAGCCATGAGTTGACAGCCTTAACATCAAACACAAAATAAAGGGACATGTAAAGGCTTTCCACAGTGACTAAGAATCCTGAAAACTGCATAGCACTGGGGTAGATTTGCATAAGCTGCATTTTATTAAATGTTATTTCCAGTATCTTATCTTCTATGACTTAAAAATTTATCTCTTCTTTCTCTTCTACTCAGGGATTAAACTAAAAAAAGTTTAAACTGACTTTTTTGCACATACCCAATAGTTACAAGACAGAAGTTACTGCAAAATTGAAAGCATGTGTCCTATTTTCTCAGGCCTCAACTCCAAAAGCAAATATTAATGAATATTACAAGATTAGCTAATATTTTCAATATCAGTCATAGACAGAAGATTATAAAATCTAGAGTCTATTTTTTAAGCTGATTCCTACAAGTAGCAAAATGCCAAACAAAAAAAGGTAGAGTTAAACAGTTAAATTAGTCTGCCAACCTAGGTGTCTATGAACAATTGCCTTGATCACTGAGGTAAAGAATGCCTGCTTGCTTCCCTAGTTGGAAGACACGTTTTCTCAGGACTACTATTTTAAAAATACACTGTTTTGTAAAGCTATATGTACTTAAATTTTTAGTTAAATATTGACATCTTATGGATTTGAATTTCTCATAACTGGATTTATACAATGGAGATTTACAGTTGATCTGTTAATTAAGCCTGAAATATGAGCCAATTTTTTCCAGATATAGCTATATCCCTAGAGAAGTATACTAAAATATTTGCCTACCAGAAAATGTTAACTTCAAATTAAAATGCTGTAATATATGATAGTTAAATATTTTTTTCTTATTAAAAGTTTATAATTTATACACATATATGTACACATGTACACACATACTAGGTATTTATTATGCATTTCTTTTCATTATTTCTATTTAAAAAGTGATTTGCAAAAATGCCAGATTTAAAAAATGCCATACTCCTAATTAAATTTCTATACCATTATTAGAGAGATACAAATGTCAGTGATGTTTGCTCTCTAATGTCAAATAATAATTTTTCCTCATGACAAAAGAAAAGGCCAACAGTGAAATTTAACATTAAAAATGCTTAGATTTGACAAATTTAGACTTTGTTATACCACTGTGAATAATTGTATTTCTTCTAAATAATTCTCTAGTTAAAGAACTTGACAAAATTTGTTACTCCCAATAGTACATGTTTCCGATTTTATGATTTAAATGACTTTTCTTCTACTTTCTTCAAATGTCTTTAGTGGTACTGAGTTTTTCTGACTTTCATTCATGCCAAACTGATTTTCAAAAATAGCTTAAAACAACTCTAGAGTCATTTCAGTGTTTACTCTAGACCTATGCTATCTTACCCTTTCTAAGCACAAATGTGAAATAATGTTTAGGAAATGACAACGTAGGAAAATATAAGGCTGGGGAAATTTTTGAATTTCATGTTTAGAGGTCAAGAGCAATATTGTTTTTAAAAGAAAAGGTACTTTAATTGAAAACAAAACCAATGTTGGGTCTCTTGTAAGCTCCATGAGAGGAGCTTTTGTTTTATTACTGATTCCTCTGGTTATAGTATAGGCTCAGCTATCAGTAATAGGAAAGGGCAGCAGTTACCTATATATATAGTTTATTTTACTCATCTTCCTACGTCATTGATTAACCAACAGAAAATTGTCAACACTTGTGGGTCCTACACACACACACGCACACATATAGAAACAACATAGACCATGTGGTTGCATGGATTCTAAGTCCATCTACAGTCTACAAAAGAAAAAAAAAACCTTAAAATTAATATAGTTACAAAGATGTTCAACAACAAATATTAAGTTTAAGTGGTTTGCAGTGTTTAAGCCGAGCTGAATAAATGTACACAGAAGACTAATGAGAACAGAATTTGTATCAAATATAAAACTAGCAAAGGACCTTAATAAATCAGAAGTTTCTAGACTAAGGGTTAGTCAACATCTAGGAAAGTAATGTATTAGAAAAGCTGCCTCAGGAACAAAAATATCCCTAGATACTAATGATCAATTAGCTAATGCAATACATCTAGACATAATTGTTTTTTCAAAAGAAAGCTTCAAACCCAAATCAAAATATATTAGAATTTTTTTAAAAAGGAAATGATGTGGAGGTAAGCAATTTATTTTTCTTGCTCTGTTTCCCCCATGGCCCATTCTTACTTTCTTCTTTCTATCAACTCTGGGCACTGGGCTGGTCTCCATATCCCCTGCTACCCTGAATAAATTAATCTGGAAATAACTTTCAATTTTATGTTCAGTCAAATATTCTATTTTCTAAGCCTGACTGTTCACAGTATTGTATAGCTACCATGACAATCTACTAAAGGTGTGCAACTTTGTTGTAAATTTA